CTGCTAATGATTTGACACATGCTTTGGGTTCCTTGTAGCTTCACTAAACTTTGAGACAAGGATATTTTGCATTCTTGTTGTAATTGCTGGATTCTTATATCTGAAAAGAGAGTATTTTGACTGTATGTTGTGCACCTATTATTGTCTTTTAAGGTCTTTTCATTGGATTGTGTTGTCTGCTTCTAGGATTAGGTGGAAATTTATATAGTGAGTTGATTGTTTCAAACTTTTCCATCTATACTACCTGTACAATTCATGGTACTCCTATTTTGGGTCCTTATTGCAGGTATCGCATACAAAGTGATAGAAAAGTTGCTGTCTGTAGTGTACATCCCTCCGAGCAAGCAACATTGCAGTGCCTAGGTTGTGTTAAGGCTAAAATACCTGTTGCTAAAAGTTACCATTGCTCTCCAAAGTGCTTCTCTGATGCATGGCAGCATCACCGTGTTTTGCATGACAGAGCTGCAAGTGCTGTAAATGAAAATGGAAATGAGGAGGAAGAGATATTTGGCCGTTTCAATAGCTCAGGGTCTGGAGTTATTAATGCTAGCTTAACTGGTTCTGCATCAAGCACTAGCTTGACAAATGGTTCAACACCTTTGTATCCTGCTGCAGTTACACAGAGGAGTGGTGGTGAAACCTGGTTTGAAGTTGGACGCTCTAAAACATATACACCAACAGCAGATGATATTGGACATGTTCTCAAGTTTGAATGTGTTGTCATAGATGCTGAAATGAAACTACCTGTGGGACATCCCAATACTATTTTGACATCTCGTGTTATTCCGGCACCTTCCCCTAGTCCTCGGCGCTTGATCCCAGTAAGCGGAGTTGATATGATGGGACATCTAGATTCAGATGGCCGTATTTCAACCTCTGGAACTTTTACTGTTCTCTCATATAACATTTTGTCTGACTCGTATGCCAGCAATGAGTTATACAGTTATTGCCCTTCATGGGCTCTTTCTTGGCCATATCGCAGACAGAATTCGTTGAGGGAGATTGTAGGTTATCGGGCAGACATTGTTTGTCTTCAAGAGGTAATACTTTCAGTTATTGTTTAATGGTAGCTATTCTTTCAGAAGTTTCATTTTGAAACTGGGACATAGCTTTGGGCATCTAGGTGAACATTGAGCATGCCTCAACATCAATTGTTCTCATCTTTTCAGGTGCAAAGTGACCATTTTGAGGAATTTTTTGCCCCTGAGCTGGACAAACATGGGTATCAAGCTTTATACAAGAGGAAGACAAACGAGGTTGCTTAAGAACTCCATGATTCGCATCTCACTGGTTTAGTAATATTACTCTTTTATGTATAATTTATGTTGTTTATAATGCAGGTTTACAATGGAAATATCCATACAATTGATGGCTGTGCTACATTTTTCCGTAGAGATAGATTTTCCCATGTCAAAAAATATGAGGTTTGGAAGTATTTCGAATGTGGTATAGGGATTTATACACATATTTGTCATTCTAAAGTAAATCATGTCTTTTGCAGGTTGAGTTTAATAAGGCTGCTCAATCCTTGACTGAGGTTGCAGTTCAAACTACTCAGAAGAAAGCTGCTTTAAATCGTTTGGTTAAGGTAATAAATATTTTACAGCTAATTTGGATCTGTATCCATTCTCTTTTATAATATATTTTTCTATTGATATCATGTAAATTCTTTTTTTCTCTGAAGGATAATGTTGCACTAATTGTGGTTTTGGAAGCAAAGTTTAGCAATCACGGAGCTGACAATCCTGGGAAGCGGCAGCTTCTTTGTGTGGTAAGGATTGTTAATTTTATTCTTCTATTCTTTATATCTCTGGCCTTCTCTTTTTTGTTTTTCTAATTTGCATGATTTTGTTTTCATACCTTATTTATTATTAAAACATGACATCATATTGCTAGTGGTGATTGTTATTCTGTGATTAGCTTTTTGATCAGGTGTTTTTATTGGGCCATTAGCAAGTTGAACATGATTTAATCATACTGCAGCTGTTCTGCTCTGAAATCAAATAGGATTTTTGGGACTATCTTTAGCCTTATAGTCTTGAAGTCAACTAATGGGCTAAGTTACTTGGGTTTTGTTCTATATAATCTAAAAAGAATTAGAAAATGGCAAGTGATCACAACTTGTTGCACATGTAAGAACAGTAATATTTCTGGGTCTGCCTGGGTTTTATTATATATAATCTAAAAAGAATTAGGAAATGGCAAGCTGATCACATATTGTTGCACATGTAAGAGCAGTAATATTTTCTGGGTCGGCCTGGGTTTTGTTCTATGTAATCTGAAAAGAATTAGAAAATGGCAAGTTAATCACAAGTTGTTGCACATGTAAGAGCAGTAATATTTTCTCGGTCTGCCTAGGTTTGAGTAAAGTAGCCCATGGCTGGTTTCATAAAACTGAAAGGTGCCTGATTTGTTGCTATCTACTCCTGTCAATTGGTCTACATGCATCATTTAACTGTTTCCTGGTTTTGGAATGCAGGCAAATACGCATTTGAATGTCCAACAAGAGCTAAAGGATGTCAAAATCTGGCAGGTTCTAATTTTCTTTAATCTGCAAAATTATTTATACATGTTTCTATAATTGAAAATAATCATTCATTTTGTATTTTCTTAATGTTAATTTAGGTGCATACTCTCTTAAAGGGATTGGAGAAAATAGCTGCGAGTGCAGACATTCCAATGTTGGTGTGTGGGGATTTTAATTCAATTCCCGGAAGGTAAGTCTGTTATCTTTTACATAACCTTGGATTATTTAGTGCTTCAGATCCATTTTATTTGCATTAGACTTTTTGCTTAATTAAATGTACTGTTGAATTTTGTGCAGTGCTCCCCATTCACTTCTTGCTATGGGGAAGGTAGATCCCCTGCATCCAGATTTATTGGTAGATCCTCTTGCGATTTTGCGCCCTCACAGCAAGTTGACTCATCAGCTGCCATTGGTAAGCTCTCTTCCATTATTTAACTGCATCAAGAGGTTGCTTTATGTTTTTACCCTACCATCACTTTTAATGTTTTAATAGGGGTTTTAAGAAAATAAAGGATACAGCCTTTAGTGGAAAAAGGGTGGCGGTGTTATATATATTATCTGGGGTTATGTTTGACACAGTAAGGTTTTTCGAACAGGTTAGTGCTTACTCATCCTTTGCAAGAGGTGTTGGTCTTGGTCTGGAACAACAGAGAAGAAGAATGGACCCCACAACTAATGAACCTTTATTCACAAATTGCACAAGAGATTTTATTGGCACCCTTGATTACATATTTTACACAGGTGGGTTTTTTTTTTTTTTTGAAAAAATTGGCTGATTGAATTGTGCATATAAAATTTTAATTTTTCTGGAATGCCTTTTTCTCGAGATTTTTGTGTAGATTTTAGTGATTGCAGCTGCTTATGAGTATTGGTTTGTGCTTTCAGCGGACTCTTTAACAGTGGAGTCCTTATTGGAACTCTTGGACGAGGATAGCTTGAGGAAAGACACAGCCCTTCCTTCTCCAGAATGGTCCTCTGATCATATAGCTCTGTTAGCTGAATTTCGGTGCATGCCCAGGCCTAGACGCTGACTTTAAGGTATGCTGTTTGTTCCTGCCCTTGATTGTTTCCACTACAACAAATACAACTGAGCTGGTGATTCTTCAGTTAAAGAGATAAATGCAGTTGTCTCTCTTTATGCATTCCTGCAGCAAATCAGCATCTCTATATGTGTGGTCCAAGGTCTCCTGAAAGATTATTTACTTAATAACAAGCTGCTGCCTGTTGTGTAGGTCTTGGAGATGCCCCAAGAAAATGACTCAGAGAAGCCGATGGATACAGATTAGTTAATGTAAGAATGGTAGATCATGCTCCCTGTGGTTTTAAGGTATCTCTTTGGGGGATCCTTGCTATGATCTGCTTTGTAATATGTTACACACCTCTGTTTCATAGCAAAAGTCATTATGCATTTCTTTTTCTCTTTCTTTTTTTCATTTTTTTTCCCAATAGCAATGTCCACCGGCTCAGTATAATTAGTCAATTAATTGTGTCTGTACTTTAAATTCTCTGCAAAGCAAGTGGTTAGTGGCATGCGATTGCATTCCCTCCTTCCATCTAAAGTTCCATGAATAATATTCTTTTTCTTCTTCTTTTTGTTCTTTATGGCAACCAAAATCAATTGGTGAAACTTCGTCTTTTAACAGTTCTTTCCTTGGAAGATGATTAGAATTTGCCCATGTTGGTTATCAAACTGTAATACGTCCAGCTGCTGCACAAAAATAACAAAAAATAACAATAAAAGTATGAGCATAAGAAACTGCTTCTGGTTTACATTTGTGAGATTTTTAAGAAAGTAGTTAGTACCAAACCTTTGTTCCTGGTTTATTGGCATTTCATTAAATATATTTCCTATTTATATAATATATATATAAGTTACTTTCAAGTTTCCTAATAAAAAATATATTATATACGCATCCTTTTGGCTAAGATGTATCTGTTCTTATCAGTATATCGATAAATATAATTTTTTAATATTTTAAAAAATTAAATAAATATAAAAATTATGGAAAATTTTTATTAAATTAATATTAAATAGCTTCATTAGCTGAAGGTTTCTTAACTCATAAATGCAGAGAGACTCGAGTAAAGGAAATTAACTAAGCTTATAGCAAATGTTTGTCTCCAAAGGAAAATCATGGATCCTCGATCCTTCCTGCTTGTTTTATATCGGTTAACACAAAAAGTTCTTACTTGTGAAAGCTCATAATCCCCATTGCTCAAAAACCAGTTAGAGCGCTTCCATTTTCAGGCCTTTTGCTTTGCATTGCATTGCATGTCTCCACTTTGCCTCCATGCACCAATATGTATACCCATTTTCACATCAAAATGGAGCTTTGAAATGCAACAAAAAGAAGATATATTACAACTAAAATTAAGTACCCATTAACATTAAGTGATAATCTAATGTAAAACCCAACTTAATACTATCAATGAAATATTATTAATTAGTCTTATCTCATCTACATAGTGAGAGGTCATTTAGTTGGGCTTTACTTAATAGATTAGATGCGACTGAGATCAAACCCAAATTTCCATCTTAAGTCCAAACAAAATAATAGTAGGACTAGGCTCGACTGAAATGAGCTAAAACCCAAAATTCCATCTGAAGCCTTCCTCCCTGTAAGCTTAAGATGTGGTCGGAGTCTGAATTTGCGTGTCTAAACATAGGTGCCCTGCTCTCATCTCGAAAAGGATGATTGTTTCTTCAGTCTCCTCGTCTTGTACGAATGCTTAAACAAGTAATATTTGCTGAGCTTCGGTTGCCAATGACAATCATTGCCTACCACTTTCACTTCCGCAATTAATGTTTGTCCAATCATACTCCATTTAGCCGCCAAAAGTCATGATCATTTCATAATCACGTACACTAGTTCAAATTTTATTTGGTGGCACTGAAACTTGCTCCTTTTAAAACATTTCTTTCTTTCAATTTCCCCTCAAAATTCAGAAATCTACTTTGGAAAATGACTCCTCTTTTTCACCAAATCAAAGTTTGTGTTCTTGGCATGTATAAATTCATCTCGTTTCCCTTAGAACTTGAAGCTCATGACTTCACTTCTCCCTCTGTTTTTCAATATAATGTGGGTTTTAAGCAGTGTTAGAGTACCCCTTTTTTGCTTCCTTTTCCTGATACTTCAAAGCTGTGTGAGCTCAGACTTGGCCAAAGACAGAAAGGAATGTTCTAACCAATTAGTTGCTCTCTCAACATGCATCCCTTTTGTTGGTGGAAAGACTAAAATCCCTGATACCACATGTTGCAGTAACCTCAGAAAACAAATTAACCAGACCAAGAAGTGCTTGTGCCTCCTGGTTGCTGATCGAAACGACCCCGACCTTGGTTTCAAGGTAAATGCCACCCTAGCCTTGAGCCTCCCTTCATTTTGCCACGCTCCATCTAATGCTTCTGAGTGCCCAGGTACCCTTCCACTTTGCTTCATAGTCCAAAATATGACTGGTAACCAGGCCATGTCAGCAACCTTCTGTATTTTGTTCCATTTGTTATCAAATGTATAAATATGTGATTTCATGTCTCAATATTATAATTTTTCATATTTAGGAGTTTATAAATATTAATGCAGAAACAAAGAAAGAAATTGCAGTCAGTACTAAATCATCTATCACTTGATTTTACCATTTTACTGAGCTTTTGTTTCTTTTGGATGCAGAGCTTCTACACTTGCCTCCAAACTCAACAGATGCTCAGGTTTTTGAGCAATTTGCCGCCACATCCGATAAGGGTAATAGTAACGCAGTCGACGGTAATGCTGATCAGTTATCAGTACAAAATTGTCACTGAATCCTTTTTTTTTTGTTGGATTTTTTTTTTCATTATTATCATTAGTGATATTTGTTCTGTTTTGTGGTTATAACATTTAGTGACAGGCACCTCTACAAGTTCAAGCAGCAGGGGCAAGGAAGAAGGATGGGTTGGTGTGTGGAGGATTGCGAGGATTTTAACCTGGCAACTCCTACTATCAATCTTTACCATTAACATGTAGACAAATCGCCATGCAATCATAATCACATGGATTAATGTATCTTCTTTTTGTTAAAAATAACTTTGGTTTGATATGCTTGACTTTCTGTTTAGTTCTATAATGATTGTTGTCCTACATAAATGTTTAGAGAATCTTGTGTCGAGTTTGATTTTCTTGGATTTGATAGAACAGATGAACATGATGGAAATGGCAGTTCCCATTACCTTGTGCAGCTCAGAATCTTGCACGGTGGCATCATGCTTAAGCATCCACTTGCATCCATAACCAAAACGAATAGCATCAAAATATAATTGGCAGCCCTAAAAGAATCAAACTGTTTCAAGCTTAACGTACCACCCGATCAGCTGTGCACTTTGAAGCATCTCAGATGTGGGAATAACTGTGGGAATAACTGATGTAAATCATCATGGCTTCGTCTCTGCAACAGACATCAATATAGGTTTAGCAAAAGAATTTTACTGAAATTATTAGCAAAAGCACTGTGCATGCTTTATTAACTATTAATAATTCTTAGGAAAATAAGTTTTATTTTTGAGATGTGGAACTTCTCAATGGTGTCATGATGAGCAAATAGGTGTCAACTGTCAGGTTTGAGCAAGCTCACAAATGGATACACTTCACACATGGACATACATTTGAGCACTCGACTCCCTAGTAAAGTTTACGGCAGTGCATATTACAGGATGCCTTTTCATTTTCAAGTAGTCCTTCCAAACATTATTTTCACATCTGAGCACTCCAATACATTTGCTTTCCCTTCCTTTATACAGTGGTATGTTCATCCACCTAAGAGCAGAATGATATCTAAATGCAAGGGTTTTTTTCTTTGATATGAATACAACAATAAAGATTCTTAACTGAAAAATAACTGCCATAACTTTCCTATAAATAAGCATAGGACAATCCCTTATAGAGAGAAGAAAATAGTTATTTACCTTAATACCCATACATCCATTAACATCAAGAGTTATGATAGTATTTCAGCAAAACTTGGAAAGGGCCTCAAGACACTTTTCCATTACCCCAACTACCCCAAACAAACTGCAAGTCATCAGGAATAAAAAATTTTTACATGAGCAGAATTTATAGGCTAGAGGGTGACATTTGTATCTTCACAAATCAGCATCAGACACTCATGGCTTATAAATCTAACCATTCTCACATCTGCACATTCACTAAATGAGAAAAAAAAGTATGGAGAAAATGCTTTTTCTCTTTCGTCAACTTATTATGAGATAGAAAATGATTTTTCTCATTTGTGAACTTATTATGAGATATGACTAATTGTTTCATGCTTTTATTTGAAGAAATTTAAAATTATTTGTTGCCCATGAATTTTGATGCATATAGTATATGGTACTGAAATATCCATGAATGTTATGAATCCAAATCTAGATTGACAACAGAATAACAAGATATTCTCGCTTGTTATTGTTTTAAATATGCATTGCAATACTTTTGGTATTACTCCAGTAGGCTGCAACTGAATATGAGACTCATGATGCAGAGGGGTTAGAGGGCAGAGGCAGCCAAGCTTGAACTCTTTGAAGGATGCATTCCATCACAATAGTACACGAGGAAAGAGAAATATTGCTATGCAGAATTTAAAATATTATAATAATAACAATAATAATGAGAAGACTCAAGAGACAACATTTGAAGGCACAAAATACCTATTATGGTTCTTCAAAATTAAATAATATGTCACTCAGCATTTACCTGAGAAATTCAAGAGAGGTACAACCTTCAACAATAGCTATGAACCCCATGTCAGTGACCTGTACACACCTGTTAGAAATAAAAAAGAAAAACAAATAAATAAAGAACACTGGCTGTTACATTGTATCAGATTACCTTCTTTGCCATACAGAATTGTGTACGAGATAGTTCACCAACCATGTTAAATTGAGAGATACAAGTTTCTTGCATTTAGCTAAACAGGAAAGTCCTTCATCTGAGAGATTTTGGCAATCAAATGTTTCAATTTTGACAAACTGCATCCTATAAAAACTTTTTCAGAAACCTTAGTTTTTACTTGGGCACCACACAAATCTACAAATCTTAGATGCGATAGAACAGATATCTTCTTGTAAGCTTCATCTGTGAAGCTGCACAAGCAATGAAGTAAAGTGACACAAGTTAGGAACCATAAGTCCGTAACAAAAAAGAACCAAAGATTATCAGGTGAAGAAAATATAGCATACCTGGAAAGTGCATAAAGATTTAAACTTCGGAGAAAGGAGCAGTTAACCAATACTTGTTACAAGCTACTATCTGTCATCTTGAAACAACTGGAACCAGATCATCACAAGACACAAGCATCATCAGCAGGTATCAAAAAAGAAGTGAAACAACATTAACTAAGCAAAGTATCATTTTCTTTGTGTGACAGACGAGCTTGCATGCCAGCTACTGACATTTATCATCTAGTCACCATCTTTTAAACAAATGTTTGCCTAAAAGATAACTGAAAAAGTAGCAGTAGAGAATATATAATATGTAAAAGCAGATATCAACCATACATTATTAAATCCTAATGAACAACACCCACTAAAACCTAAGCAAAGCAGATTAGCATACCTAGTCAGATTCAACGACTCTAACTCTTGGTAATTGTCAGCTACAAATTGCAAACTTTTGTCTGATAAATTCTGTGATTGTCACATAAAAGTACTTCATTCAAAGAAAATCAAACAGGATACCTTAAATTGACTTTCATATTTGATTAGTGACTAAAATATACAATTATAAACTATTTAAAAAGATGAAAACAAATTTATAAAAGTTTCACGGTAAAGTTGTAAACCAAACCCCTTGCACAACATTCAAGGTGATGGTGCAAACAACAAAACTTTTTCATGTAGAAAGAAAAACAAGTTTCAAGTCTGCAATTGAGCATGTTTGGATGTTCAAATCAACTTACTATAAAAGCACAATATGCTACAGCAAAATCTAACAAAAAAGGCACTATTATGCATCAACAATTCAAATGGATGTATGCGATCTCTTTTTGTTATCCAATCTAATGTGATTCATTAAATCATAGGCTATTGTATCTTTTTTGTAGTCTCCAGTTGAGTATCCTCTTTTTCCCATTCTCTTGTTACCCAGAACATCAAGTCTCAATCACTCCTCGTTGAGCAATAATGAAATTTTTTGTTGTTTTGTAAATAAATAATCTAATCCCTCTTTCAATTGTAATTGCCACCATCCTAAACCTCCCACAAGTTCATCTTTCCCTAAAATTATCCTCATTGCTACTCTGCATTTGTACCACAATTCCCATTTCAGGAAAAAATGGTTTCACGAACTTCATTCCTAGGAATTTCTGAGGTTCAGTCAACATAATCACCCTTAATAAAATACATGCTTAAAAGACTGTATTGCAACCCTCTCATAATAGGCCTTGCAGAAGATACAAAACCCAAATGTAGTATAAGTTAAGTCAAATTTATGGCACCCTTATCAGTGTTGATGTTTATAATATTGTACAATAAAAGGTGAAAACTGCACCAGTTAGTCATCAAATATCTTACAGCCAGTTATGTTCAAATCAAATATATATTTGCAGTTCTATACCAGATGCTTCACACCAATATCAGTTGCCCTGAAGCTCAGTCCATATCGAAAGATGCATTAGAATTATAAATTAAAGAAAGATTGCTTATAAAAACATAAGTCAGAATATATCCATACCAAATAAGGGAAATGTGAAAATACCTTACATTACAATATATAGAGAAAACTTTCAATTTAGGACAACTGTTTAAGAGTTTCGATTCCTTTGTCACATATCTTTTGGCAGCCATTCAGATTTAAAAACTCAAGGCCTCGAAGTGAATCTGAAAACTGGAATGCTTAAAATATTATCAAGAAACATATTTGGAATCAGGCTCAATTCTAATGTCTCAAAAGCATAAATTACATCCAACTGCAACCGAAAACATTTAGCCTATTTCTTCCTAAATTCTTCAATAAAAGATACATCTACAAACTCCAAAGAATAACTGGACAATAATTCACCTCGTTCTTAAGGACTTCGAGACGATCATCATCTATATCTTGTGCAAATTCAAGGCCTATTTGCTTCACATGCTGATATCTTGGCTACAAAGAAAATGCAAAAATTTACTTGCTTTAAGCCTATATGTCTACCCTTTTATGTATTTGCTAACAAAAATCCAATGCTACTAACATTTCAAGAACAGATTAAAAAAAATTACAACTTTACAAATTAAAAGGAAGAAATATGAAAAATTGACAAACCAGTGAAAGAGCAGCTACGAATCGACCTCCAGCATTACTCATCTCACGTAAATCAACAGCCTGGCAAAAGAGAACAAATACCCAGATCATAAAAAAGAAATGAGAAACTGAAAAAAAAAAAAAAAAAGGAAAAGATCTATAGAAGAAAAGAAAAGGAGAGATTTGTTGACAAGAGAAAAGTACAAGACAAAGAGAAGGGTAGGAAATGAGAATGCGGTGAAGCCAAGGGCCGACAAAAAGGACAGAGATGAGGTCTCTTTGACAAAGTCTTGCGCTCACTATTTTCATCACTTTGGGCACTGTTTCTTTGTTCCATATCAATGTCTGCTCTTCTCCTTCCATCTTCTCTGGAAATACCCAAAGCTGATTTTCGGTTCTGTTCGGCCAAAAACAAAAAGTTCGGTTCTGTATTTCTGCAGTTCTGCTCCTTTCCAAAAGCTAACCTATACCATTATTATTGTTATTATTGACGTAATTTTTAAATTCGTAGATTTTTTTTTTTTTTGCTATCAAGAAATTAGAAATGTGATATTTATTTATAAAAATGTTTCATATATATTTGTTAATTTTTAAATATCTTATTAAATATATTCATAATATAAAATTAAAAAATTAAAAATTTGATACTAATTGTAGACACCCAATTGGGTCCGGCCCAGATCAATTGGGCCTGGCCCAAATGGGTAGGGCCCAATTCAATTTGTCCTGTATTATTTTGTATTTTATGTATTTTATATATTTTATTATTATGTATATATTTATTTATTTATTTATTTTTTATTAGATTAGATTTATATGTATATAGTTATATTTTTTTTTTTTTATCTGTTCTGATTTTTCCTGATTATCAAATTTTTTTTTTTATAATATCTTTTGATTTATCTTTTCTAATTATCTAGTATTTTTTATTTATTTTGATTTTAATTTTGGAGGGCTGAGATTGAAGGCTGAAGAATCCTATTGGAAATGAGAATTCAATCAGAAGAGTCCAGTGGGATTCAAAGATTGAATTCCCGTCCAAGGAGGAATTGGAATTGATCAGGAACTCCTGATCAATCCCTATAAAAGGGACTCTGGAACAGAATGCAAGGAACACAGAAAACAGTAAGTAAAGCTACTGATTTGAGAGAAAATGAGGCGTATAGGAAGTTAGAAAAAGTTTAGGAGTGTTCTGGGAGTGAGAAAAATTTTTTAGAAATTTTTGGCGAAAATTTTTTCTGGAAATTTCTGGGAAATTTCCAGATTCCGGCGAAAATTCCGGCGAAGTTTGAATTTTCCGGCGAAAATTCCGGCCAACATTGAAGTTTCCGGCGACCTGCCCAGTTTCCGACGAAGAATCCCAGAAACCGGCCAACTTCCGGTGAAATTTTCAGATTCTGGCGAAAATTTCCAGAATCCGGCACCGGTGTTCTTCGGTTTCTAGAGAGAAGGGAGAGAAAAAGGAAGAAGAGAGAGAGAGGGGGAGGAGCGTTCTGTCGAAAAACGGAGGAAGGTGCCTTTTATACCCTCCCAAAACGACGTCATTTTGGCCTTAAGTAACCCAGAGGATCCGCGCGTTTTGCCGCAACCCGACCCGACCCGGGCGTCGACCCGCTTTCTGACCCGCGCGTGCCAGCCCCCTCCGAGCCGAGCCGAGCCAAGCCGCCAAGCCGCTCCCCCCGAGCCGTTTTCCTGCCTTGAGCCGAGCCGAGCCGAGCCACGATCCGAGCCGCTCCAGGTTTTTTTTTTTTTTTTTTCTTTGAATTTTTTTTCTTTGTTTATTTGTTTATTTTATTTTTTATTTATTAGATTAGGTTTATGTAATATTTTTTTTATTTATTTTTTATTATTTTATTTTCTTTAAATAAAAATAAAAAAATTCCAAAAAAAAATATATTTTTAGGGAAAAGTTGAAAGTATCAATTTTTCTTAGAAATAAATTTTCAAAAAATATTTTTGGGGAAAAGTTGAAAGTATCAATTTTCCTCAGAAATAAATTTCAAAAAAAAAAAATATTTTAGGGAAAAGTTGAAAGTATCAATTTTCCTTAAAAGAAAAATAAATTTCCAAAAAAAATATATTTTTGGGGAAAAGTTGAAAGTATCAATTTTCCTTAAAAATCAAAATTTCAAAAAAAATATATTTTTGGGGAAAAGTTGAAAGTATCAATTTTCCTTGAAAATCAAAATTTCCAAAAAATATTTTTAGGGAAAAGTTGAAAGTATCAATTTTTCCTATAAAAAAAAATCATTCCTTCCTCCCTTTCTATCTTAATTTTGATTTTGTTTTTTTCTTTAAATAATCCGACGACGGAGCCTCTGTAAGTGAAACAGTAGTTTTCTTGCATACTCCTGAGGTGAGGGAATTTTCTCAATTTTCTGCTAAAAGTATTAGAGTCAATTGAGAATAATTTCCAATAACTAATTACTTGGTAAAATTTTAAAGCTTTTGGATAACACAAATTCAAGCTGGTACCATCTTTTGATGGGCGTTGTGAGGGTGCTATAACCTTCCTCACACGTAACCGAACTCCCGAACCCTGTTCTGGTCAGCAGACCTGAACCTATTCTTCTAGGGACCCTTAAACTTAGGTGTTCCCTGGAAGGACAGATTCTTTAGGTGGCCAATCGCACCTAGATAAAAAAGATTGGTGGCGACTCCCTGAAAGTCAATGTCTAGCGATAGATCTCCGGATCTAGACGTTACGACACTAATTTATTTGAAGTGTTTAAAAAACTTCATATTATATGAGATAATTTTTTATTAATTATATAATAATAATATTTAGAATCAGCAAATAAAAAAATAAATATTAGCAAATAAGAAAATAAATATTAGCTTCCAAAAAAATGGACATTCGGATTTGGGCTGATGAACCCAACACGAAAGCAGATAGCAAAACTACTTGGGTTTCGGCTTAAAAAAAAAAATCTACTTTGGTTCAGTTCTTCCCTTGGCAGGAAAAATAAAAACAGAAGAAAAAATCGCCAAAGCTTATAATTTTTGCCTTAATTAGAGAATTTTCAGGCTACAAACAATGTTCAAAGCAAAACACTTTGTTTCGTTAACAAAAAAGCTGCTTTCACATCCCCAGATTGAGCATCAACAAGTGAGAGGCATAGTAAAGGTGAGGCTGAAATGGGTGAAGAACCGGAGCCTTGATCATGTCATCGATACTGAGACCGATCTCAAAGCGGCTTGCCTCTTGAAGGATGCTATAAAGCGGTCGCCCACCGGTTATCTTACTGCCAAGTCTTTTGCCGATTGGCAAAAGCTCCTTGGCCTCACTGTCCCTGTTCTTCGCTTTTTGCGCAGGTATTTTTGGTCTTCTTTCCTCTATTTTTGAATACCCTTTTGATGTTTTTGCCCTGTTTTGCAACGAAAACTAAATAAAAAAGGCTCCATTTTGATTGCTATTTTGCTAATTACTATTTGCATTGTAAGAAGTTATCTGATGAAAGCAAATGGTAGAAAGTAAAATCATGATTGCTTAGAAATGAAAATTGATTAAAATGTAATATCAAAACCACCCATTTTGTTGCAAAAAATTTGTGTTTTTTTTTCTGCCCGATGGCAGAAGCTTGAAGCAATATCAAACTGTACCTGCAGGTATGAGAGTGACAATTTGGGGTTTTGCATTGTTAGTGGATGCTTATTAGTCGGTAATTGTTGTACTGTCATATGCTGCTTGTATTAGGCAATGAAAAGAAAGTGGTATTCCTTGTTTAATAAAGTGGTATTGACTATTGAGTTGAATATGTAGGATAGTAGTTAGTGATTGAAAAATTTTTTCTACTTTGTTTTAGGTACCCTACTCTTTTTGAAGAATTCCCACATGCGCGTTATGCTAATTTGCCTTGCTTTCAATTGACTGGCACTGCACTCTTGTTAGATTCACAAGAGCAAAGCATACACCAGGTGCATGAGAATGATACCGTAGAGAGGCTTTCTAGGGTGCTTATGATGATGAAAAGTAGGACTGCACCTCTTCAGTCCCTGCATCATCTGAAATGGGATCTTGGTTTGCCAGATAACTTTGAGAAAGTGTTGATCCCGAAATACCCGGATCATTTTAGGTTTGTTAAGGCACCAACTGGTGTTGGTGCTGTGCGACTTGTGCAATGGCGCGAGAAATTTGCTGTTTCAGCATTGGAAAGAAGTAATGAGGGTGGTGAGATGGGCGATGAGTACAGGCATTTTAAGAGGGGCCAAACCACATTGGCATTCCCAATGAATTTCCCAAGGGGTTATGGAGACCAGAAGAAGGTTAGAGCTTGGATGGAGGAGTTTCAGAAGCTTCCCTACATATCTCCATATGAAGATTCTCGGCATATTGATCCAAATAGTGAGCTTATGGAGAAAAGGGCTGTTGGTGTGTTGCATGAGTTTTTGAGCTTGACGATTCACAAGAAGACCAAGAGGAACTACTTGAGAAGCTTGAGAGAGGAACTGAACATCCCACACAAGTTTACTCGATTATTTACTAGATATCCGGGGATTTTCTACCTGTCCTTGAAATGCAAAACAACAACTGTGGCTCTCAAGGAAGGATACAGTCGGGGAAAGCTAGTAAACCCACATCCTCTTGTTCATCTGAGACGGAAGTTCTATCATGTAATGAGGACAGGGCTTCTTTATCGTGGTAAAGGTGTGAATCTGATACCTCGGGAGGACATTTTACTGAAAGACTTGGAGAATAGAGTGGAAGAAGAAGAAGAGACCGAGGAAGAAGAGATTGGAACAGGTGATGAACACTATGAGGAAACCTCAGATGTGGAAGATGAATTCAGTAAAGAGTAATGATTACCTGACAGAATTATCCATTAAAAGGGAAAGATGATTAAAACTTGAGATATTTACGGTTAATAGGATGCAACAATCGTGGATTAATCTCTAACCTCAGTATGAGAGCAAAATATCAAATTATGATTATAGAAGTTTATTAGGATGCAACAATCGTGGATGTATTGCTGCTTATGTCAGGTTGACATTATTCAGAGTTAGAAGACCTTCCATATTTTTCAATTGTATCATGACTTATCTAAGTCCTTTTTATTTGATTAATAGGGTCAATTGTGCTTGTTTTGTTTTCATGTTAAAGAAGTTAGAAATGAATAATTATGTAGGGAAACCCACATTAATGCCATTTTGCAAGAGCTCAAGCCATAGAAGCACCGCCAGATGAGAAAAATATGGTTCTCCAATCTGACAAAGGATTTTTTTTTTTTCACTTAGTTGTGCAATGTCTATTCTGGACCTGTTTGCTTGACACTTTCGCTTTGTATCTATAGGGTCCTTTCAACATTGAAGACTTCTGATCTCAGAAAGTCGTGCAATGGTAAGATGTAAAAGTCCAGTTCATACTAGTGTAGGATTCTTTAGCATTGTCAATTTTAATGCCAATCTTTGTATTTTCATATTCTTTGTCAATTCAGTCAGAGCAGATTCTATTTGTTATGATTTGGTAAGTATATTTGAACTAAACCCTGCTCATGACTAAAGTAGCCCCTTAGTTTGTCATCTGAGCTAATTCCCCCAACTGTCACCTGTTTGATATGTTGATATTTTTACTTATCACTCCATGTTTGTTGTGGAGTTTCCTATATCACCCTCCATAACTACAACCTCATTAGTGACCAGCAGACAGGCTAAAAGTAAATAGTTTGTTTCCTATGTCACCATCCCAACCACAACAATGTCTGCTCATTAGCAATTAACCATCAATCCTACAGCCCTCTACAGAACTCATAAGAATATGTCCTATGTTAGAACCCAGATGCAAATGGAAATAGTGACAATGGAGACAGAATAATCCTGGAATTAAATCTGATGGAAAATATATATACTCAAGAAAAACATGAAAAAATTAATCCAGTATAAAGTGGGACCTAATCCCAAGCACTTGTCACACCTGGAGCATACCCTCCACCATAATTGCCAGCAACCCCATATGCACTACCGCTATTCCCTCCACCGTAGTAATCCAGATTCCTACTGAATGAACCCTCTCTTCTGAAATCACGCCCACCAAAACGCCCTCCTCCAGATCGTCGATTTTTGTTACCACCATAAGGAGCCCGGGATGCATAACGGGTGAGCCATGGAGGTACGTCTTGATTTGCTTCTTGCATTAGCTCAGCAAGTGGCCTTGCCAGGGACAAATTGCTCTCATTAAAGAAAGCTGTAGCCAACCCTGTTTTACCAGCTCGCCCCGTCCTTCCAATCCGATGGACATAATCATCAATGTCATTAGGAAGATCAAAGTTGATCACGTGAGCTACATGGGGTATATCAAGACCACGAGCAGCCACATCAGTAGCTACTAAAATTGGGGTCTTTCCACTCTTGAAAGATCTCAATGCTAGTTCCCTTTCCTGCATACAAAACAAACCCGTAGCATTTATGTAAAGACATATTCCTGCCAAATTAAGGTGAACATATAGCATATGGCATAAACACTGCAACACAACTCAGACCAACTTTCAACTAAAAAACCTGTTTTACTACTAAAAGGTGGATGCAATAACCTTTTCCCAAACCAAACTTTAATTAGGCATAAGAAGTCAAAAGGATATAATTTCAGCTAGAACAAAAATAAAAGCCTTCCCAATTGAGGATTGTGGAAATACTTATTAACTGCAATCTCAGCTCAAGTAGCTCATGTATCTGGCAATTGGCATAAATGTTTGTTCCAGGTTAGAATCAGCTACCTAAAGACTCCTAGAAAACCTATCCAAAATGTTTTTCAAATAACAAATAGATCACTAAAGATGAATTGACTAGCAGAGAGAATGAACACATTTTAATGCCACCAAAGACGTGGTTTAGTATATCTAACAAATACCATAATGAAAAATCCAGATCATTTGTCTAATTCTGGCTTCCAAAAAAGTTCTTAACCTTCAAGTTTGCATCCAGAAGTCACTGGAATGATATTAATGCTCAATGGAATTAATAATACTTGCATATAACACAGGCAAAAGGAACATTAAGTGTAGTTATCACACATCAAGAAACGCACTCAAAGAACAAGTATATCATTCCACCCAACCACAAAGGCCATATTCTTTCACTTCTCTTTAGCAAATTTATTTCTTAACATTTACCTGTTGAGTCCTATCACCATGGATGGTCGTTGCTGGGAATCCATTAATGCACAACCAATGTTCCAATGAGTCAGCTCCTTTTTTAGTCTCCACAAAAACTAATGTCAAAGCTTGCTGCAAAGTCAAAGACACACACAACTATCAACAAGTATTAATTATCTGCAACCTATCAACTCACTGAGACCAGATACCTGAATTAGCACCCTGAATGTAAAATATTCATCAAAACAAATATATCTAGTAATTAACCTCAACGGTTAAAAAATGGATAATGGAACTTCAATATGCAAGTGCATAAAAGAGAGTCTCACATTACCTTGACATGAACTCCATTTTCCTTCTGCGCATGCAGAAGATCCATGAGATGGCTTCTCTTATCAGACTCGTGAACAAATTCAACCCTTTGAAAAATCAAATCAGTACTTGACCCAACCCTCCCAACAGCCAAGAATATGTAATTTGAAAGAAAATCAGATGCAAGTCTCTGCATAGCCACCAAATTAAAAAGGAATTATGTGATGTAATTTGAATAGTCTTTCTTTTTATTATAAAAAACTCTCTATCATCTTAATCGCATTTGGAAATCATTCTAAAGCAAAATTAAGGCAAAATAACATTTTTGCTTCTTTTGGATTCATAAATTTTGAAAGTGAAATAACCAACCCCACCCAATCATTTAGTCCTTTAGCTAATGCCAAGGGCAAAGTCAATTTACCCTGGTTAATTAACAATTTCCATTTTCCATAAAATATATATAGAGATACCCAAAGAATTCAAACCAGCACCAAAATTATATTCCAGAAGAACATGAAACTCATTCACAATGTGAAACATTTTATAGTTATAAGTGCAAAACGTATCAGTGGGATATGTCAAAAAATACGGCTCAGAAACTCAAATAACAGATAAAATGAGAATCAACAGAGAAACCATATTTAACAATTATAACCTACCTGTATCTCTCTTGGAAAAGTGGCACTAAACAACATTGTCTGTCTAACACCCCGATTAGGCATGTCCGTTTGTTCAACAATCTTTCTGATTTGTGGCTCAAAACCCATATCAAGCATGCGATCTGCCTCATCAAGGGCCAAGTACCTAATCATCTGCAATGACACTCTAGCCCTCTCTAGCAAATCAACCAATCGCCCAGGAGTTGCCACAAGAATATCAACTCCTCTCTCCAGCTCTCGCAACTAAGTATAGAACAAAGCATTAGTAAACAAAGGAAAAGAAGGAAACAATGAATACTCATGTACTGAGAGATAGGGGTTTGTAAGGAGACTAATAAGCCAAAAGTCACAGGAGATAACTAGAAAAGCAAAAAATAAAATAAAAAAAAAAAGATCCCATAAGAACATAAAAAAGATAAGTCATACAACATGATTAGATGTAGATATAATACATAAACTAAGTTTCCTTGATACTTAATCTAAACAAGTTAATATCCCTAGATCAAACAAATAGATAAAATGTAGAAAAGTAAACTAGTTTAGCATGAGACACAGTAAATAAGAATAACTATACATGTCATATAATATGGAGCAAGAATGATATTCAAAACCTAATTTGATGCAATAACAACCTGTTGGTTAATTGGTGCTCCTCCATAGGCAACTGCCACCTTGACACCAGTTTGATACGAGAACTTTTTGGCCTCCTCGTGTATCTGAAAGTGCATTATTATCAGAACAAAAACACATAAAACCATTCTAAAAGATTACATTTTCTAAGAATCTCACCTGACAAGAAAGCTCCCTAGTGGGAGATAGAATGAGTGCAAGAGGGTAAACAGTTCGTGCTACACGCAGTCTCTGTACATACTGCTCCCGCATAATTCCACTAATAATTGGAAAGCAAAAAGCAGCTGTCTTCCCTGACCCAGTTTGAGCACAAGCCATCAAATCTCTTCCTCCTAATGCTATAGGGATCGCGTGGCGTTGAACTGGAGTCGGTTTAACATACTTACACCTCCTAATGTTTTGATTCAACAGTTCACCTAAATCTATCTCAACAAATGTATTTACAGGTGGCGGCACATTTTCACCACTAGTTTCCACCGGAATATCCTCATAAGCATCGAAATTGATCCCCGTATGCTCTTGTTCACTAAAAGCTTGTTCTGTATCGTCAACTTCACCTTCATCACCAAATGGATTCACTTCCCTTTCTCTCCTATTCCAACCTCCACTTCTATTATTCCAACCACCGCCGCTGCCACCTTGTCCAGCTCCAGCATAACCATACCCCTGACCTGGACGCCCGATTTCAGGCTTTGTCCCGCCGCCGCCGCTCCAACGTGACCACTGGGACCCACCAGCGGTCCCGCTAAAACTTGCCTTCTCAGTAACCGGACCTGACGGGTTAGGTGCGACGGAGGCTGGACGGTTACGAAGGTGGGGTGGGACATAAGTGGATCGAGTTGGACGAGGAAAGGAATTGTTATCTGAAACTCCAATTTCAGATGCAGAGTTTGCTACAGAATCTGCCCATGAAGTTCTCATAATTTCCCAAACCTAAGGAAAAAAAAACTAACAAAACCTAATCCAACCAAAAAACAAAACCCAAAATTTTAAATCCTCCAAAAAGTCCTGTTGTTCTCTCCCTTTTTGTAGATCAGACCTGTTCAATGAAAATGCAAGCAAAGTCGACAAAAAAAACTTTAAAATGCAATTAATATAACCCAAAAATTTGCTGAAAAAATATGAACAATATAATGAAAATGCAAAAAAAAAAAAAGAATTTACAAAGAAAAAAATACCAAAACAAAAAAACCACTATAATTGATAACAGAAACAGCAGAAACCTTGTTGGAAATTCTTTTGCAAGATGGGGTCAGAAAGCGAAAAAATCGGGTGTCTTGATTTTTTTGTTGTTACTTTATGGTTTTCAAAATCAGATGAAAACTTTTTCTCTCTTGGTCTTTTCTTTTCTGTTCTTTTCTTTTCTTTGCGCTTCGTTTTTGTTTTTTTTTTTTCTTTTTTTGCTTTGGTGTCGCGTCCAGGTTGCAGCTTAGAAACGAGAGAGAGTGAGAAAAAATCTACAAAAGGTCATTCGGTGACCGTACAATTTTTGGCTTGCGTCATAAACTCATAACTAAAAGCTCCCATCAACGGCCAGACAACGTTCTAATATATCTTTAATTACGGATAGTAACAATTAATTAGTGTTTAAGTGATTCTTTATGAGAAAATAAATTGAATATTTATTTTGTCTGATTGTAATATGATCCTGTTTAAGGAATAATCATATAAGGTTTAATTAAACTATAATTGGGCAAACACGTTATGCTGATGAAAACAAATGATTTTGTTTTAAAAAGAAAAACGTTTCAAAAGAAAATAATAGTAGAAAATTATGGGTAATTTTTAATGATAAGTTTTTTTTTTAAGTCAAAAGATATGTGTATTTTTTAATTTTATATTTTTTTGTAATTACATTTAAATAAATTAATGTTACTTTAAAAAACCTTACATTGAATAATAAAATTAGGGTATATATTTTATTTTCATTGACAATGAACTTGTTAATTTCAAAAATTAATTACTGAATTAAATTCAAAAGTTTTAGTTAATTTTTTGTTAATTAAATAATAAAATATAATTGAGTTAAATTATATTTTTAATTTCTCATATTTAAAATAAACTAAATAATATTATTTAACAAAATATTCAAATACTTAAATATTAAATTAAAAATTCTAATAACTTACATTTCTTACATTTTTAATTTTATATTTTGATTTTGTTATATTTCGAATAAAATTTTAGTTAATTTAATTTTTTAAACCAAAATAATCAAAAATAAAAATTTGTCTAAAATTATTTTTTATAACTAATTAAAATTAATTCGATAATCAACCTATTAATCTAATTAAATCAATTTAATCATTTAATTCAATCAAAATTGTATTTTAAACATTATCAATGAATAAAACTCACATCTTAACAATCCATACTAAAGTTTAAAAAATATAAAAAATATGTATTTAATACCCAAATAAATCCTCGAAATTTACTCCAAAGTGCAAATAAGCTCTCAACCTTTTATTATATGAAATTAAGGCTATAAAATTTTATTTCATTGTAATTACTAATTATATCCATTAAATCTAAATAATTGATGAATTATGTCCAATTGACATAAATTTTAAAATAATATTATCTCAAATATTTGTCATTTAACTCATCCAAATAAATTTAAGCAAACATTTTCTACAAATTAAACCATTAAACTAAAAAAGTTTACAAAAAATTAAATATTTTATACTATCTTGGATTTAATTACAATAAAATAATGAGTTAACTTCATAAATATACCATATGGTTAAGGTAAAATGAAAGTGCTTCCGATATTTAAAACATGATACTTAACTACTTTATTATTTGTTTTATTATTTTTTTCATCAAAACTGTTACTTTTGCCGTTTCTTTTCATTTTTTATTTTTTTATTTTTTTTTCATCTCAATTCATATTCTCTCTCTAAAAATTTATTAATTATTTCTCTAAAATCAAATCAATTCTCTCTCTAATGGTTTGGTTAGGTTTTAGAAAATTTATTTGATTTTAGAGAAATAATGAATTTGCTAATCCAGAAACTTAGTCAAAGTCATTTTCAGCAAACAATATTTTTGATTTAGCAAAACCTAGACAATTGAGCAAACAGGGATAAAATGTAGATAAATATAAAACCAAATAGAAGAAAATTGGACAATGAATAACCTTAAGCAATTCAGCAGCCAGTATTCATCCGAATTCAATAACTAAAAAAAAAAAAACTAACAATCAATTCAAAGCCAAAATCTACAAAACAAATAGTAAAAAATCTATAACAAAACCTCAACACATATCAACAATTAGTGAACCCAGAATCAGTAATTAACTAAACCATAAAAGACCACTAGAAAAACCCCACTCAGCAATGAAAAATCATCAATCACCCATCGTCAAACAATCATGATACACAAATTAGCAGCAAAACACCCAAAAAACAAATAAAAAAAATCATTATAAGAATTTTTAGTATTTTTTTTATCGTGGAGCTATTCTCTTTAAGGTTTTGAAATATAATAAGAAATATTATTTTAAAATTCTTGAGTGGCAAATAGTGGCAAGGATAATTTGAAAGGTTTTGGATTTTGATTTGTGTTTTAGAGTGCTCAAATAGAGAATATTGTAGCAACATCTTTTATCATATATTAAGCTTTTATTAGGTATTAAGCAAATAAGGAAATAGAGGAATGGTGCCACACAAAAGAGAAATGAAGCTAAGGCCGGTGATTAATAGTGGAACAGGTAGTGATTTTTTACAATGTGTTTAGATTAAGGGGAGATGAAGTAAAAGAATGTAAAGGAAACAAAACACATTTCTCTTGTTTGGATAAAATTTTAATTTAAGGAAAGGGAAAGAGTTATAAACCAAATAACATTTGATTTTCTTTGTAAACCCAATTTTTTTAATACCGCTTTGTAAATTCAATTTTTTTAATACCCCAATTTAAAGGAAAAGTTAGGGAAATGAAAGTTGATTTTTTTTTTTAATAAAAAGACTATTATGTCTATCTTTTTAATAATACTCAAAATCTAATAAAAAAAACGTAAACAGATCACAATCATCTTATAATTTTTTTAAAGCCGTATCTTTTTTTAAGTAAGTTTCATATATCTCTTCCAATATAAAAATTTTTTATAATTTTTTTTTTGTGATTTAATTTGGATGAATTGTTGAATAAATAGATATATTTTTTAGGTTTATGATATAACAGACTAGCTCAAAATTCATCAATGTATGTTTGTAAAATATTTTCCTGTTTCACATAATTAAAAATCATTGATATAGCAACAATTGTGAAGTCTGATAAGATAGTAAACATATCATGGTCTATAAGTGCTCTAAAATCATAGGAAATGAAAAGTTATAATTGAAAAAAATTATTATAATAATAATTTCCTTTCTTTTTTACTATTTATCCAAACAATAATTGTTAAAATTCTTTTTATTTTCTTTATCAATTTTAATTATCCAAACAATGGTTACATGTATCATTTCATTTCTTTTAAAAAACTTTATTTTCCATTCTTTTCCTTTCATTTCCTTTTCTTTATTAATATTTATCCTAACATAGTGTTAACTAATTTTTGGATTTTATTATTGAGTTTAAAGTTACTCTAGATAAATTAGAGAATGCTCAGGGGTTTGATTTGGTTAGAGAGAGAAGTTGGAGATAAGTTAGAGGAATAATTTTTAGAGAGATAATATAAATTGAGATGAAAAAAATAAAGAAAAAAAGAAGTAACAAAAAAGTAATTGTTTAAAGTAAACAAAATAATAAAACAATTCATAATATAGTTAAGTATTATATTTTAAATCTCATGAGACATTTTCATTTCCACTTTAATCACATGATATATTTCTTAAGTTAACTTCAAAATAAAAGTTTATAGCCTTAGTTTTGTAAAATAAAAAGATCATGGATTTTTTTTTAATAAAATTTAGAAGTATTATCCTTGTAAAAATATTAAGCTTTTTATATTTAATTAATAAATATATTGTAAATTATGATTATGCAAAAAGTGATTGAACATGCATTTTTTTTGCATGCGAAAGAAACGAAGGATGCTGATTTATTTTCCACCTCTACATTATAATAGAAATTGTAAAAGATATCAACAAAATTTGTTGAACATTTATAACTAACCAACTATATATATTTTCAGAAATTCGATGATATATAAAATCTAATTATATTGAGAGGTGTTAAATGCAACTGAATATTTTCTTTTCACATTCTAATTTTTTTAAATATTTTTTAAATAAAATTATTTAATTATTATTATTTTTTCACATAACTTTGTTGAAATGGATTTTCGGAAACCAATCATAAACTTTTCCTAAAATAAATCTTCAAAAAATCATATAATTTTTTGAAGATAAATTTTTGAAATATTATAAATTTTTTAAAAATAGATTTTCGAAAAGTTAAATGACTTTTTGAAAATTCATTTCTTGGGATAGTGAAAATTTAAGAAACATTTTAAGTAAAATATTTATTATCTCACATTTCAAAAATAAATTTATGAAAAATCATATGATTTTTTGAAAATTTATTTTTGAAAAGATTCATAATTTTTCATAAATTCATTTTTGAAAAATTATATAACTTTTTAGAAAGTTATAAAATTTTAAAAAATTGTGAGAAATATAATTATATAATTTCACTTATTAAAAATAAAAAAAAAGATATGAAAAGAAAAAATAAAGTGCATTTAGCACCTCTCAATTATATTTTGAGTTATATATAAACAAATATTTTCATTCCATACCCTTAATCCATTTTCAACATTTTAAAATTAGGGAATCTAGGCGCGAAGTTTAGTTATTTTAACTCTTAAAGTGCTCATAAAATAAAGCTTTTAAACACATTTTATTTTCTTCCTCACACGTTATTTTTAAATAATTTATATATTAAATTATTTAATTAATTTTTTCAAACTTCTTTTCACTTTTAAATTTTAAATTTGTAAATCTCTCAGTTTTTTTTAAAGTTTTGGAATTTATAACTTCGAAAACTTTTAAAAGTATCCAGATTCGTATATTTTAAAATTTAAAACATTTTTGTTTTAGATCATTTAAATTAAAAAAAGTTTTAAAGATTCGTATGTATAATTTTTTTATTAATTTATAAATAAACTTATAATTATATGAAACAAATCGTAATTTTTTAATTAAAATTTTTTTTTCTCAATTGATATTTTTTAAACTCTAAATATAACTTATTAGATATAAAAATTTCATAAATTATATAACTTACTATATATGTATATAAAAAATTTTAAAATTGAAATTAAATAATAATTAAATAATTTTACTTAAAGATAACTAAAAAAAGTGATTGTGGGGAGAAAAAAATGGATGTAGTTAGAAGCACTACAGTCTGTAATTTTTTTTTTCTATTTTCCTTTAAACTTAAAAAGGAAAGAGCAACAATGGATGAAACTAATATAAAAGTTTTTGGGGGTAATAAGGTAATCTCATAAAATGTTAATAAGGAAAAAGTGATCGAAATCCAGCTCTGCGCCGGATACTAACACCCAACATGCGCCACTCGCTGCCTCAATTCACGCGCTCCCTTATTTCGTCTTCGTAACAGAAGCAGGGGAGCCGGACAGTGTAGAGAGAAAAACGAAAAAAAAAAAGAAGAAAAATTGCTAATCCAAACTAGGGTTAGGGTTTGCCCTAATCCGGATAACTATTTCAACGCTCGATTCTTCCAACTGATAAATCAAAGATGGGCGCTAATCCGTCACCAACAGACTCAGCCACCGATCTCGATGAGCAGATCTCGCAGCTCATGCAGTGTAAGCCACTTTCGGAGGAGCAGGTACCTTTTTTTCTCACGATCTGTTTGTTTCCCAAGAAAGTACGGCTGAATTAATTCAATAATATGATTTTTTTTATTGGTTACTAATCGATTAGGCTCTGTTCCGCTGCGAAATAAATATCCAAAGTGATTTTGAATTGAATTTATTATTGCAAATTTGCAATATTTATTGCCAATTTCTATTGCTGTTTAAAATTTTAAAATTTAATTTAGAGTTAATTGAGTTATTGAATAAAAAGTGTAACTTTTTTTTTTAATTTTAAAGGAGTAAAAGAAAATCAATTTTTTTATTTATTCGATGTAGGTAATTTTGAAAGAAATCATGGGGTATTGGTTTGCGGAATCTTGGATTCCAGAGAAAGTGTGGTACCTGGGAAAGTTTGATACCTGGGATTTTGTTTTATTTTTGGGGTATCCCGTAATCAGATTCACTTGGGAGAATCTTGGTTTATTAATTCATGTATAATTATTATAATCTCCTTGACAAGCTGTAGGCAACCTTTCATTTTGTTTTGATAAAAAAATACTTAAACGACAAATGATGTCTTTGGCAGCAAAAGAAAAGAAAAATTTTAATTTTCTTAATTAAATATATGCAATTATGGTGTTTAACTACACATCAAGCGGTAATTGCTATATTAAAATATAAGAAAAATATCCATTATGGCGTTTGGAAGAGCTGAACGCCTTATTTGCTTTTGTAACTATGTTGAAAAAAGTATCAAATAAGATGTTTGTTCAAAGGAAACGCCTTATTTGAATGGGCGCCTTATTTGCTTTTGTAAAGATTCCGAAAGATTGTCTATCAAATAAGGTGTTCATAAAAAGGAATCGCCTTATTTGAATGGGTCAAATAAGGCATGTGTTCAAAGAAACGTCTTATTTGATGTTTTGGTAAAGATTCTGGAAAAAACATTGAATAAAGTGTTTGTTCAAAGAAAACACCTTAATTGATTTTTTTCCTCAATTACGGCGCTTGAAGGAAGAAATGCTTTAATTGAGAGGGAAAATTAAATTTTAATATGATTCATTTATGGTGTTTCTAGGAAGAAACAAAATTTTAATATGTAACAATTAAGGCATTTTAAAGAAGAAATGCCTTAATTACAACATATTAAAACTGAATAAAAAACAAGGCAAATTTTTTTTAAAAAAGTTAAAACTGATCTCTAGACTTGCTTTTCGAAAGGGTAATGGATGTGTGACAAATTTTTAACTTAGGTCAAATTTGGAAATAAGGCAACTTTCTCCTTTGGAATCTTAAAATACCAAGGGAGAGGTGGGTTTCTGATTTTAGAGCTTTGGGTACTGTTAGGAATCTAACATTTTCTCCCATAATTGGATTACCCTAAATCGAACGTGAGAAACAAATACCTACCATCAAGGTTCATGGGGAAATTTTGTGGATTCCCCTGAACCAAATGCACTCGCAGGGTATTTGCATGGAAAATTTTGTGTGTTTAAACTGTTCTTAAAGCCACAGTTTTCTTCGTTTTATTTGAATTATGTTGTTCTTAGTTTGATGAATGGAATTCCTTTTTTTTTCTCCCCTGTTTCGTCTTGGGGGAATATAACTGTTAGTAACTGTATTTGTTTTCATCTTGCCTTGTTTAGGTCAGAGCATTATGTGACAAGTCAAAGGAAATATTAATGGGAGAAAGCAATGTCCAGGTTTATTATCTTAGTCTTGCTTGTGTTTAGTCCGTTATTTCAGGAGTCTGTGATCTGTATGTGTTTATTTATGGATGTGCTTTGGAAATGTTGAGATTGTTCGTACTTGAAATTGGAAAACATTGATTTGTTTTGTTTTTTGTTTTTTATCACAGCCTGTGAAAAGCCCTGTGACAATTTGTGGTGATATTCATGGGCAGTTTCATGATCTTGCAGAACTTTTTCGAATTGGAGGGAAGGTACTTGTTCTAACTGTGACCTTTTTTTTTTTTTTTGTATTCAGTTATTCTGTTTCAGCTGATGGAATGTGTAAAATAATTAGTTGATACCTCAAATGTTTGAAGATTGTAGATCTGCAGAGGTATCTTGTCACTGTAGTGCAGATATTTTTAATTTATTCTTTTTTGAATTGGTTAGACATGTCAGCTTTTTGTCTCTGGCGCTTTCTTGCATTAGAGTTATGTTTCAATAAAAATTTTCTACTTAATGTTGAATCTCTTTAATCATTAGATAGTGACCTATCAGTGTCATTCGGGCATTCTTAGGATGTATTACAACTTATCATATGCTTGATTAAACCTCATCTGTTACACAATTTTGCTTTGTTTTTTCCCATGCTCATGATCAGTCTTTCCATTGAGCCTATGCCTTACGGTTGGTTTTATCTTAATTGACAGTGTCCTGATACAAACTACTTGTTTATGGGAGATTACGTAGATCGTGGGTACTATTCTGTTGAAACTGTTACGGTATGTAAATGTTAAATTACAAAATGCCTTTTTCTACCTTTGTCATGAAAATGTGTTTCTAATTTCTGCTAATGTATGGTCTAGAGGCTGAAACAATATAAGACTTTTATGGGTTCTGGCTGCTAGCTGTGTGAATGAAATTTGGCTACATGCTCCTATGAGCACTAGTAAAAAACACCTGACTTGTTTTGATGTTAATGACCTTTAAGGCTATGAATTTGAGATGCCTTTGCCTTTTGGAAGATTTCTATTTGTTGTTGGGCTGATAATACCGGTTAGAGAGATGGCGAGCTACATTATATTTTCCTTTGGATAGGGAGTTTTGAGTATAGAGCAACTGCATTTTATCTTATTTATCACTTTAACTTCAATGTAATTAAGGAGGAACATCATGGGAAACTTTTTTCTGGTGGTTTTTATCACTACTCCATGCTAGATTGATGCTAGATATTTCTTAACACACTGGAGTCAAATGTTGTTGCCTACTGTTACTTTTTCTGTTCATAAAGGTGCATGTTATATTACTGCATTCATGGACAGTTTTCCATTTACCAGCATAATCTTTGTAAATTGAAATCAGCAACATCAGAGATCATTAGCAAGCTTAAGTGGTTAGGCCATTTATGCATTTCATTTGGATGATATTGATTTTCTGCTCCCTCAGCTATTGGTGGCTTTAAAAGTCCGTTACCCACAGCGGATTACCATTCTCAGAGGAAATCATGAAAGCCGCCAGGTATGAAGCTTGCAACTTCTTCCATGCCTTCCTTCCTTGTCCAAACGCATGTTCATATACACACACAAAAGTTTGACATTTTATGGTGTTATATTTTGCATATCTGAGTCTTAATTCAAAGTTTAATATGAACTTTTGACCAACTATCATATTGAATGTCAAGTTAATTCTTTAGTCATTCTTTTCTTTTTGGCAGATCACTCAAGTTTATGGGTTTTATGATGAATGTCTGCGAAAGTGAGTTTCTATTGCACAACCTTCATTACAAGGGGTGTAGTATCATGAGCCATAATTGTGCTAGCTTTACTAAACGTCTTCTTATTCTTTATCTTTTTTCTTTTCAATGATATTTTTTAAACTACTTTTTTCTCCAGTTAAAAGAATCAAGTGGTATTATTGTATTTGCTTTGATTGATATGATATATAAAACTAGTAGAGTTTCTGGAGGTATACCCTTCAATCTTCAGATAAATTGGAGTCATGTGGAGACAGTATAGTTGTTTCTTCCTCTTGCAGCTCCATGATGATACTTTTTATGGTGATTTACTTACAGGTATGGCAATGCTAACGTTTGGAAGATCTTTACAGACCTTTTTGACTATTTTCCATTAACTGCTTTGGTGAGTAGAACTTGTACAAGGTGCAAACTATTTGGATTTCAATTAATACCAACATAAATTCAAGGAAAGAAAGGACTAAGGACATACATATTGGCCTTAGTCTTTTTGATATTTGACATTTATGTTTTAGTGGTCTTCTATTTCATTTGGCTTTGCAGTTGAATACTATTGTTGTCCTCCATACTTTTTATTGTTGTGGTTCTAGTATTATATTATATTAGTTTAAAATATTCATTCATATTTCAATTTTAAGTTTTGAATAATTCTCATTGTCTTTTTGGTTGGGCAAGAAAATGTCGGGATTTATAGCTTGTTATCTATAATCTCATTATAAAGCATATTGAGATCATTCAAAGCAGGAACTAGAGTTCTCTTAGTTCCTACCATAAAAAAATGACATCAAATCTTTCTAGAATGCCATAGAAGCAATTGGCTGTTTCTTGTATTTATGTTTAAGCTAGATTAAAGAAACTGCTAAAAAATTCCCCAAAAATGGTTTTCACTGCACAAGAAGATTGATTAATTAACGGTTATTGTAAAATCAAGATAACCTACTTGTTTACTGTATTATTTTAGTCCCAGCTAAAGAGATATATAGCTTTGGTAATGCTCACAGTTGACTTTGTACCTCCTAGAACTGAAGTGGAATTTCCATTCACTGATGTAGTGCCATTTTCTACAATTTAGGTGGAGTCTGAAATATTTTGTCTGCATGGTGGATTGTCCCCTTCAATTGAAACCCTGGATAATATAAGAAACTTTGATCGTGTTCAAGAGGTTCCCCATGAAGGGCCCATGTGTGATTTATTGTGGTCTGATCCAGATGATCGATGTGGTTGGGGTATCTCACCACGTGGTGCTGGGTATACTTTTGGTCAGGTAACTAATGTTCATGAGTGACCATTCTTTGAGGTTTTGTGGTTGTCTTGCCTTTTGTTTTAGTTTTTTTAATATCAAAATGTTGCATTCTTGTCTGCAGGATATATCTGAACAATTCAATCACATGAACAACTTAAAATTGATTGCTAGAGCTCATCAGCTGGTTATGGATGGATTTAACTGGGCACATGTAATCACGATTGTTAGAGTTAAATTATTATATTTGCTTGTATGCTTAGTATAAAGTGCTTTGGGTTTTTTAATTACCAATTATTTTCCTTGGAACAGGAACAAAAGGTGGTTACTATATTTAGTGCCCCTAATTATTGTTATCGCTGTGGGAACATGGCTTCTATCTTGGAAGTTGATGATTGCAAGAGTCACACATTCATCCAGGTCTCTGTTTCTCTCTTCTCTCCTTCTTGTCCTCTTTCTTCCCCTCCTTCCTCTTTTCCTTTTCCTATACATGCATACACGTGTGTACACAAATAAAGGTAAAAGAGCAACAGCTAACTTTTGAAATCAAATTCTTGGATGTCCTTTTTGTGTTTGTAAAATTTGTCAAGTTCATCTTCATGCAGTTTGAGCCAGCTCCAAGGAGAGGAGAACCTGATGTTACTCGTAGAACGCCTGATTACTTCCTCTGAAGCAGCTATGCCATAACTGATTCAAGATACTCTACTTTTCCTCCTCTCCTCCAACCTTTTACATAGTCAGGTAGTTGCAGATCTTTTGACAGAAGTCTGTTGCATCTACTACATGCCATTTTTCTTTTTGGTGATGGTAAGCACCAAAAGCAGGTATATTAGGATAGAAAGATGGCCTTTAATCTATCTTACACTTGGATATTCTGTCAAAGAGATTGAATAGCTGATGAACTGACACTACCAGAATGTATTAATTATGTAGATTTTTGTGTTTGTTTTCGATTTCTGTTTTCTCTTTTTTTTTTTGGGTTCATCCTATCTTTTTGAGCTCGTTACCGGAGATGGAAATGTTCAATTTTTAGTGGTGTTTTAACTTTTTCTTTTACCACTGACTCAAATGGTGATAGTTCCCAGCTATTCTGTTTTTATATCATGCCTCAGCAGTTAAATGGTATCAAGCCGTTAACCGGTTGAGGCAGATGGTACTAGAAATTTAAATTTTGATTCTTTTAAGGTTACAGGCTTAGGAAGGGCATTACAAATTATTGGCAAACGAGAAAGATTATTATAGGTAATTGACAAGAGAAAGCAAAGACAAACAAAGGAAGATTTCAAGTATTGCAAAATGGCAGATTAAAAGGAAGATACTAATCATTTTTAAGCCCGTGGGGTGTTTAGTTTGTGATTTGATACATACCCCATGTGTTACATAATATCTCATCGTAATATTTCTGTATTTCTGCGTTTCTCCAAAAAAATTAAACTTTAAATTGGACTAGATTAGAGATGATTTTTCATTCCATTTTTTAGGGATACATGATTATATATAGCAAGAGACAGTGTCTCTCTCAATCTCATAAATCCCCAACTTTCTTGGACTTACCAATGCGACCATTTCATTAACATATGCAAAATTGGAGAATGGGTGGATGAGTTATTGGTTTAATGACAAGTATTTAGTGACAAAGAAGAGATCTAGGACTTTAAGTTCTAAGTTCATGTTTCATTTTATGTAAGTTTTGATGTTTAATTATGTTATAATTTGTTAATTGATTATTCAATTATTGTAATTTGATTATGATAAAATAATTAATTATTCAGTTGATTATATGAATATAATATTTAATTATAATTGCTATAATTTCAAAAAAAGGATAATTCAGTGACAAACAAAAAATTTGATTTACAAATTAGCTGCACGCCACACTAAAACATGCTAATGAGTAGTACCGAGGACAAGCATCACAAGCGCAGGTAAGAGAAGAGAGAAGGAACGAGATCTACCACTGACCATGCAAGGCCTGCGTATTGAAGGAATCTAATACCGGTGTCGACGTCAAATAAATCTTGGCGAGAGAAAAACAAAATCTTGCGGGTATAACTTGACTGCTTAATCTCACTGGATTTCTTACCAGTAGCTGAGCCATTAAGCATTGGGATGTAGCTGGTTGATTTTATTGGGATACCCAATGTATTTGATACTACAGGAAGAATCCATTTTGCAAGGGCCTTGCTACAGAACTTGACAATCAGGATTGTTGGTATCCCAACAAGCACTCTTCCCACAAAGGCAGGGATTGCGAGTTCTGAGGTAAATATTCGTGGAACGGCTTCATGGTGGAACTGGTGGTACGTCTGTTGTATCCCAGCCACCTGGTTAACATTACCATGAATGTGAAAGCATTACCTTTTATCCCTGTTGGGTGCACTTGAAAGAGGGGGGGGGGGGGATCTAAGGATTTTCTTTGCTAATGCAAATACAAATACAAATACAAATGCGGACATTATTTAAACAAGTGATATTTATATTACCTTAATAAATGTTGCTCGCTTAACAAGTAACATGCATGCCTTGCAGTGCTATTATTAATAAATTTGAGTTCCTATAAATACAAGGCTTAGAGCACAAGGCTTAGAGCGAAGGCCTTGGTTATGATGGTTGTAGAGTAGTTGATCTGTTTCATCTGGAGGGTAGGGTGCCTAACTGCCTATACAATCGAAAAAGCGAATTCAATATCACTCGGATGAAGGAGACATTACTCACTCGATGTAAAGGTATCACTCTAGGTTGAAAAGGAAGAATTTCATAGCAACAATGAATGCTATCTCCATAACAACATTCTATCTGGTAACAAGGGCACAGAATTTTACTCCCAGTAAATTTTTTGAGCATGAGGTGATTTACTTAGTATTATAATGGTATCAAACACCATGCGGTATGTTTGAAAAGCACCAATCATATCACTTTAATAACTTCTTAGGTACTTTTCCTCTAGGCCAATGCATTTACTTCATCTTTTCTGTGTTTGGGTATATGTCTATTCATACTAATCATATTTGTCAAAATGCAGAACCCTAGCTTAGAATTACAGTTGATGCATCTTCTAGATGACCCGACAGTTTCAGGAATTTTCTTTGACACAACCACCACCATTCCCATAATGCAGTCAGGAGGGCAATAAAATTGAGACATTTTGATTTGCCACCTAACCATAGGCTTTTTGGAAGGAAACAAATGGAAATTCTCTTTTGTTTGCTAAATCATGCAAATCCTAAGTTCTCATAAGGCCAAAAGAACTTGAAACAACCAAAGCTAATTTTTATTGTACTCAATAGGTAAGAGTTAATATGGTAATTCCATAACCTATTATTAACCCTAAAACCACCCCCATAACATCTAATGATAACCTCTAAATATCTCTAATGCTAACCATAGATGCCAAGAGTATCAGTTGTTTGTCAAGCATGAAATATGCATAAGCATATGATGTGACAGAAAACAGTACAGATGAACTTTTACATTTTCCAGGCACAAGCAACTGCAGCTATCTTCTTTTTTTGTCTTATAGATTTTGCCCAGAGACAGTTACATTTTTCCTATTTTTTTAAATGAACAATGATCTCACAATATCAATTCCTTGTTTTCTGCCACTCTGATCTTAACTTTTGCATTCAATAATGTAAATTAATTTTTAGAGAAGTAATTAGTCAAAGATGCATTGCCCATAACAATTCTGGTGATAACAGCAGGTAGCAAAGAATTGTTTCAATGCTATATGGTTGATCAATTACTTACAATTCCAAATGCAACGCCGTTGAAGGCAGTGTGGTACTCAAAACTTGGAGTTGAAAGCTCGGGAGTGGGGTAAGCAAAAAGTAAAAGGAAGCTCAGGGCAGCCCAAAAGGATGTAACTGCAACAGGAAAAGTAAGCATAAAAAATATAGAAAGTATTATGTCTCAAAATTCAAATACTCAACTAAAACCAAGAGTATAAATTATGTTTTGAGCATTAGAATACCAATCGTACTTTGTAAGCTCAAAAGCCACTGGTCATTTTAATCAGCAGAACTGAGGGTAGGGAAATAGAAGACCGACTTAACAGCCTCTAAAAGTCCCCATCATTACAGGAACTACAAGCTAACCTCCACTATGGCACAACATGTCTCCTCTTTCTGCATATGTCATTCTATCAAACGGAGTCCTTATCCCTACCAGGCCAAGATCTATACTTGGCTTGGATCCCTATTCATCTAATTGGATTGAGAACAATTCAACCTGATCAGACAGACTCTTTCAGCATATGAAAGCACAAATGTGCTGACTATAAGTTTACTTACCATTTTGTCCAGTGACAATAAATCCATCCACATATTCATGGACTGTTAGCCACGTTACAAGAATCACCAATCCAATAGCAAGACCACCAATGATATCAATCAAGCTGTGCATGCCAACGTAAATCCTTCCTACCAAGGAAATAAAATTCAGTTGAACATTTGCAGTAAGGAAAGCTAATAGTATGATCGAGAACTTTTGAAGAAAAAATAACTTACCAAAACCAATGAGGCACACAAGCAAGAAAGCAAAGGCGACTGCAGCAAGTTTCACACAAGCATCTTCACATTTTGTGTAGGACAGAACATAGTATAAAAGGTATCTGGATGCAATAAGCAAAGCAATTCAGTAATAATTTCAATTCTTAAGAAATACCCACTGATGAATTGACAAGTAAATATAGAGTGCTTAATTTATTGTAAGGATTGGCAACCAGTCCGACCCATGAATTTTCTTTTAGTTTTCCTCATTTTCCTGTCCTATCAATGCATGGGAATTGAGGTTGCCAACAATATATATGCTATGTTCCCAAAAGCACTTTCAACACAACTTAATGGTGTCTCAATAACTATTTCTCAAAGTCATTTACAAGAACACTGTATTGATAAAATGTGAGTCATATAAGCTACAACAGCTGCAGATTAAAAGGTTTATGTAAATAGGAAATTTCAATACCCTGATAAGCATACTGTGTTGAGAGTATGAGAAGAAGGCAATCCATATTCCATCGCATTCTCTTCTTCATCTTTTGTGGCCGTTATCCTTCTAACAGGTGGGCAACTGGGTCTAGGAGCCGACACTACATCCTAAAATACAGATCACCAAGCAGAAACCAAATATATTATTAACTTTAAGACTTCATTCTATACATTACCAACACGAAATGATAAAATCAAGTTAGGAGGAAAAAAAGAAAAAACCTTTATGCAGTTCCCTAAATAATCACAGAAAGCCATCAACAGGGTCATCTGCCTAGCCAATTTTCCATGCCCACTCTGGAATCATCATTGAAAAAAAACCAATGAGAACAATTACAAATCAAAATTAACCACAAAGAGAAAGAGAGACAGAAACATACCCAGAAAAGCAAAGGAAGAAACGCAGTGTAAAAGGGCACAGAAACTACACAGGACAACCCAGAAAAGAGAGCATCCCAGAATTTATGCTGATGTTTCTGCCAAACAAATAAAAAATAAACCCCCAAATCAAAAACAATTAGGATCACCCAGATAAGCTTCACAACCAACAAAAAGACAAAAAACCCAGATAATCAAACAAAAACATGACAATCTGTGTTTGTTTATTTTGGTCGAAACCTGGATCTTGAGGATTATAGAAGTGCCTGTTACAACATGGTGAGCCACACAAGGTTGGAGCAAAGATCTAATCTTTTTGGTTACATTGAAATATGAAGTTATTACAATCCATGAAAAAATTCCAGATAAAGCCAACCCCTGCCACACTCCAACACTCTCCATTTAATCTCTCCTTCTCTTTCTTTTCCCTTCTTTTCCCCCCTGCAAATGGGAATCAGAATAAGAAACAAACCAAACAACATCAACAAACCAAGCCTTATATCCCATAATAATAAGAAACAAACCAAAACAGATGGAAAAAAAAAAATAGAACAGTTTCTAAGTTTGTAACTTTGAAACTATTGACAGACTTGGACTTGGGATGAAATTGGCTAAAATTTGTAGTTTTCAATTTTCCTCACATAAAAGAAAAAAAAAAATTCTGTGAGCTAATTAATAAAATTAAGAATTTTCTTTTGGGTTAATGGCTTTTACCTGGCAGAGAGAACGGTCAGCAACAACACGGGTTAGAACATTCTAAAAAAAAAAAGGTAAAATCCAAAAATTTCCCTTGAAATTAATTTTAGAGACACTTTTGAGTTTGATCCCTATTGTTTCGAAATACCTTATTTCACCCTTTGGCTGTTCACAGCCGTTAGTCCAAAATTAAAAAAAAAAAAATTGGGATCCAAAATCATCAAAATCGGATCAGTTTCCCAACAATCTGCCATCTCTCTCTTTTAGTTTCCATTGTTGTTAAAATATCATTTTCATTTTAAAAAAATCATATATATATTTTTTATTCTAGACTGGTGCGTAGACATTTCGTGAAGAAAAAACTTTTAACTATTTCAACAACTATAAAAAAAACTATCAAAGAAAGAATGCCCAGATTCAAGCTTTGACATAGCACCAAGTACAGTCGAAGAAACCCAGATTTTCATACTTTGCCAAAACCAAAACCAAAACAAATATTCAACAATAAACAACCAATATCACACTAAAACTCTAAAACTCTACTCATTTATTAAACCAAGAAAATACCATACCTAAAACTCAATCAAAATTTACCATAATTAACAAAATCTGTAACGTGAATAAGAGCACAACATCAAAATATAAAGTTAAATTATACAAAAAAAGGGAGTTTTAACTTCATCATATATATTACTAATTATAGTAAAGAGAGACCGAAGATTATGTAGTGGAAGCCTACACTCAGCCAAAGTACTCAGCACGATCCACAAAACCAATGACGTAGAGAGCATAGATTATCCCAGGAACTGCAGGCAAATGCAGAACTCAACGCTGCAACAACTATGCATTAAGCAAAATCAAAAGGAGGTAGCAGGATCAGGAGTTCACAACAAACTTCACAGCGAAAGGCATGTTCGAGAAGAAGAGGGAGAAGCAAGGGTGATGAAACAAGATGAGAGAAGCAATCGTGAAAATTGGTGGTGAAGATTTGAGAGAGAGAGAGTAATTGGTAGTATAAAGAAGAGTAGAGAGAAACTACAATTTATCGTTGCAGTTGAAAGAGGGATTCATCAATAGTCGGTCCCATTCCAATAAGGATTCAATGGATAAAAAAAACCTACGAAAAATACACTAAAATTTCCCCTAATCTTCGTATTATTCTGATTGTTCATAAATTTTGTAGTTATTTGATAGATGAATTATAGTATTTTTTTATAATATAATTTATAACTCACAAAATTATTCATTATCAAATTTTCTATTTAATTATCATGTTGAATACACAAAGTTTCAACGTTAAATATGTGAGATGAACTATAAAATACTCAGTCAAAATTGGCCAGAGCTAATATTTCATGAGAAAATTATCTTTTAAAATATAATTATCAGCTCAAGATTGATAAAAAGATTTATGAAATAAGATTTGATGGTGCATAGAAATAATCCTTTTTTAAAACAACAAAATATGAACTTGATCATCTGGACTAATAGAATGAAACCCTTATTAAACTCCCTTGATGTCATCAAAGAAATGGAATGTCAAGATTTTCAAGACTCGTATGAAGATTTTGACCCAAACCAATTATTAGAACATGAATTCACTTCAGGCGTCGATAATTCACTTTTGAACCTCTCTGTAGACCATACCCACCGTTCGCTCAAGTGATAATGCTATTGTAGTCAAAAATTCAGTCATGGTGATAAAACTAGAAGAAATTTTTTATTTCAGTTTAATTATGTATAATTATATGTGATACTGTTAAAAATGCTTTCCAAACCCTTTCAAAGACTCCAAGACAAGATGATGGTACATTAAGTTTTGTTTTTACCAACATCAACTTCGGTGTCAACTTTATGTCTACTTTGTTATTTGTCAGGTCATGCTTTATGTTGTATTCAAGTCAAGTTTACTTTACTAAAGCAACTTTAATAAAGTAAAATGAATCTTACATTTACTTTATTAAAGCTACTTTATTAAAGTTGCTTTAAGTCTAGTCGATTGCTTTATGTTTAATCATGAACCCAATGTCATTATTATAGATTTTATTTCGTTACTATTTACTTATTTTTTTCTTGTATAAATTTGTACCTTCTTCTCGGAGAAGCCAAGTCTTAATATCTCTAAGAAGTTTTCCCTTGTAAAAAATCCTCTTCTATAAATATGTTTGGCTAAAAACTCTAATATCTTTTGGTAATTCTTTCCTTATTCTTTAGTTGTTAGGTTTAGAATCAGAAAGAGTTTTTTACATCATGGTTTGTAGTGATACAATTATGTATGATCTATAGTTACCACATATTGTTAATTTTTTGCATCAAAAAGCCTTGTAAAATTGTCAATCGTATCATTGATCCATTTAAGAGAAGAAAAGTTACTATACCAAAGAATATTAAAGTAGGCTACTATAATGAAAGGCATGTCTTCAAAAAAGTTAGGCCACCAGTTTGATGTTATGCCAAGAAGGCATCAAGTCTTAAACATCGACTAGAATATCTTGGTTATATATATGAACTATGGACCGCTTATATGATGATGATAGCTCAGACTCAGACACATATGACTATTCAGATGATTAATGTTTTGAGTACATGTCAGTCCAAGAACTCAAAAGATCCAAACCATTCAACCTTCAAAAATACTTTTATCTTCAGTATAGATTTTTATCCACAAACATTCTCCTTTTATTATAGTTATAGTCTTTTTTAACATAGGTGCTGCTCAAACGATAGCCAATCCCTTTGCAAAGAAATCAACTTCAGGGTCTCCTTTTTAATATCTTTCTTTTAGCTTTTGTTGTGAATCTTTCTTTTTTGCTTTTTGAAGGGTCATCATCATTAAAGAAGCTTCTGTTGTTGTCTTTTTGGCATCTTTTGCATTTGCAATCAATATCACAATACTTGGTGTACCCTCGAAAAAGTTTGACTATTATGTCATCTATCCTAAAAAAGAAAAACAAAGACACTTTTCAAACCCTGCAAAATCCAAGCTCATTAAAAATAAAAAACAAACCAACCCTTACCCCAGATGTGTATGATGCAACCAACTTAATCTTATGATTCAAAATTTTTTCATTTTCAAGAATTTCATAGAGACTAATACAAACACATTCCAAAAATCTCAAATTGATAGAGATGAATATGAAAACTAGAAAAGCTTTACTTCTCCTCCTTATCAACTATACAACCCACCCCCAATTTTACCTAAAAAACCTTTTTTCACACCATTTTAGTACAAACCTCCTCCTACATCAATACCCTCACAACCAAGATAATATTTCACCCTAATATCATATAAACCAAAACAACCTTCCTTTGGAACAACTAAAAAATGGATTCACAAATTCAGAGAAAATTACTTAGTTGACCAGAAGCCCAAAAGAATTACAAACCAACCACATCTACAACCTCCAAAACCAAAACCAAGCTCAAGCTTTGTTGTTACCCCTTCTAACCCTATACCTCAACCAACACCAAAACCATAACTTCCAACACAACTCATGATTTTTCCCATACCAAAAATTTTTCCAGAAATGTTGCAACAAATAGCATAAGAAAACATCCCCTAATTCTCTATTGAAGATATCTTTCATACTAGATATGACACGTAATCTTAGATTGAAAATATTAAGTCAGATAACTTAAATGATTCAGATGAAACACTTTCACAGATCTTCATGACAAAACCATGAGTTGAAGTATTTGAAGATAAACTAGAAGCATACAATCTTAAAGCCATGGATGCTGAACAACAACATTTTTCAACATAGACACATGTTCTTTTTTTCACATCCAAGTTCTTAGTTTTCATAATTGATGATATTCCTCATTCCAAATAGCCTTCAAAATTCTAAAAGTTTTTCGTATGGGGACTGGTTGAATTAAACTCCAATCCTAATGTTACGATAAATACAGTTTTAATCAAATTAGTTTCAAGACTAGTTGAAACCTTTAAAAATTTTTAGGATAATATTAGTGAATACAAATAACTATAGTTTCTCTAATGCCAATAATCATGGAAGTTGTATCCCAATTTTTGATAATATTTTGTGGCCAAGAGACTCTTAAGTTAAAAAAAAATCAAAGAATAATTCTCCAAGCTAAAATGCTATTCACTTCATTCAAAAGATCTTGACAAATATTACCAATAGTTTTTTCAGTATTTCTACATATTTAGTGGATTTGATTATGTCAACTTGAAGCAAGCTTTTCTCAATTCTAATCCAGAAAACTTGCCCAATGAACACTACCCATTCATTCACCTCTTCAAATTCCCTGACCTATTTTGGTTCTCAAAAGAAACTATTTATTCATATGGTATCATTGTCACCTTTACTACATTGCTGTATAATTCTAATTTCAAAAGCTTAAAACATTCTTTCACATTTTTTACCAATCAACCATCAACCCAAAAAGAAATCCAAATGGACCATAGTCATCAACACCTCAAATTTAAGTACAACATGTCTCTCCATGATCCAACATTACTAGATGTTCTAAAAGTTCAAGTATAGATTGTAAGAACTAAGATGAAAGAATTTTAGGTAATCTTTCACTATTGGATGGTATACAGAATTCAAGATCATGCCATAAACTTACATTTACCTAACTCTGATGATGTTATATTTGTAAAGTTAAAAGCTACAGATAAAAATCTCATATTTGTTCATATTCCAAAATAGATCTCTGGGTGTATTTCAATATATTGAATGAAAGTGTCTCTATATCTTCTAAGTATCTTGGATTTGTATTTAAACAAAAGGTGTGAGGCTTTTTGGTTAAGAGATTTGATTACAAGCAATCTTGGTAATTTTGGAATGAGTTTTTCAACTGGGATGTTGAGGAATTCATTAGGAAGGCCAAATTCATCACCGAGGTGGGGTTTTATTAAAGGAGGAACAAAGAGGTTTTTTTATGATGAAGGTAAAGGTGAGGGATTCATCATTGATATCATAGGAATAATCTTCAAAGAGGTTTGAAATGAGATCTAGAAAGAGGTCTGAATAACATATCTGAGAGAACATTATCTTTTCTTTTTATATGTGCTGTAATAAAGGAGTACTTTGAAAATCATTAAGAGAGTCTGAGTAACTATGCATTTGACATCTATTTCTTCTTAAAATTGAGCACCTGGTCAAAGGTTGACATATCTAGTTCCACGAGAAAGTGGTATCTAATGAGGTAAAATTCAAATATTTAGATTTCATATTTCACTGCTAAAATCTCTTTTATCCATATATCTATCTGGTTCTATCTTTTTTTTCAATAAGGATTGTCCACCAAAATTTATCACTTGTATTTGTCTGTAATATCTTTTTACCATATGAGAAAATCTTTAAAATTAGAAATGACTGTGATCTTATCTTCAGTATTTGTATAGACTATGTTTACTTTTGAGATCACTCGGGTGGTTCTTTTTTTAGTATCCATATGAGAAAATGAGTTATTTATGCAAGATTTACAAGAAATTCACTCATGTTGTTGACTATGCCTAAGAATTGTTACACTTGCTTTTTGAAGAGATTTTCATTAGAAAATTTTTTAAATATCTTAGCAATATGAGGTTAAGCAATGTGCTGACCATCCTTCAAATGCATACCTAAAAAATTAATTTTTGAAGCACCAATGATCATCTTTTTCTC